CAGAAAGTTCAAATGGAGAGATATTCTTCTTTCTTTAATAAAGAAGCAGAAGAAGAAGATGGTGCCATAAAAATTTAATTTATCTTTCATACTTAATAGAAAATTCTTCACCAGGCCTTTCAGAATAAAAACGTGAACAATGGTAAATGATGGTGTGTTTTTGTTTTTCACAACAATCCTCTCAAATTCAAACTCTAAGCCTAATTCCTTGAGTCAGGCCAAGCAGAAGCCATGTTTGTACAGTCTTTGGCTTTTCTGCTAGTGTAGAGAAATTAAACTAGTGTTTGACAGAAAGATTCAGGAAATCATTGTTGAAAATCCATGAATAAAAAAGGGTTAAACAAAATTCAGCTACTAGATAAAGTTGAAGAAAATCTTATTACAAATCTGTAATAAATTATTTGTAGACATTTTGGTGTTTGCAGCAACATGTTTGCTGCTGTAACTGTTCTCTTTGAGTACTGTAAAAACAAACTTCTATAATTAAGTTGATTCTGTTCATCTGGACGTGGTGTTTTCAGTGGGAGAAACGTTTTGTCACTCATCCAAGTGACTTCTTCAGTCTCAGCTGACTGCAGGTTTCCCCAATCTTATAAACAGTACATTTGCATAATGACTGAAGGAACAATGGGCTGTGAGGTCAGTTCCTTCATCATAATTGTGCAAATTCTCATGACCATTGATCAGTCATTGTGCGTGTGTGTCAAATCACTACCGATTGGCATGCAGACATGATGAAGTGGATCCAGTGAAGTTGAGAACCTTTTTATATCCCTGACATTCTGCTCCGAAAAGGAAGAAGATGACTCACATAAACCGTTGAAAATTTAACTTTTTAGAGAATTCAATCAGAAACAGGATCATATGGATAAGTTCAGAGTTACAACACAGATCACAGAGGAGTTTTGCAGAAGCATGATCCTGTTGCTTCTGCAGAAGGGAGAACCGGGTGCTGGTGGTGTAGTGGGGGATATTTTAATGGCACACTTTGGACCCCATACTGAGGATTGTTTAAACACCACAGCCTGCTTGAAGTATTCTAACTGACTGTGTGCATCACTTTATAACCACATTCCTGCAGGATAAAGTGCCATATAACTAATGTAATTTCTTGAACGTGACAACAATCCATCCATCCATCTAGCCAGGTATACCTAATAAAGTGGCCGCCGAATATATGCACTGTGTGTAAATGGGAAGATCAGTCACTTCATGATAGCAACCAGCAGATGGCAGCAGTGGAGCATTAGTTTTCCCAATGCATGACAGTTTTCATGTGACCTTTGACCTTTAATGTTACAGTAGAACAAACAGACTGTAAGTTTCCTTCTGAGACCCGAGCTTCTGGTAAGGATGTACTTTACATATCTGGAAGCTGGAAGTATGTCTCAGGTCCTAAAATGCATCTGGAGGACAGCTGATAGAGGATGCAGAGGTTAAACAGCTGTGGCCACAGCTGGAATATAGAAACCGCAGAGGACTCCTTTAACAGCTCGCCCTCTTTATTCAGTTTATTTCAGTTCTTTAAGATGATCAAACCTTCTGCCCTTCATTGTTTCTGTGTGTGATATCTTAAGAAGATGTGATGTCTGTCACATTATCACCATTTTGAAAAGCAGTGCCAACACCTGGAAAGCAGACAGATGTGTAACTACAGATCTTCCTTATTGAACTTTTGCATAAGGTTGATTTGATTTTCAATCTGCAGGAGAATTTGAAACCTTATTTTTTGCATAAAGTCAGCAAACTTTTTAAATGTTTTTATTATAAGATGATGCACAATGATTTTATGTTCCATGACCTTTGACATAAAAGTTATCTAGATGGTTTCTGAGTGCTTCTATTTGTTTGTCGTGCACATTTACTGTAAACATTCATGCTTTGTAGGAGGGTTTATATAAAATTGAAAGCATGTGACAGCGTGCTTTATGAGCATAGTTTGGACACAGGAGGACATTTTTGACCTCAAGAGTTGCAGACTTGGTTTAGTCTGATGTTTTATTATAAGAGGACATCATGGAGCATGTGAGGAATGATTAGAGAAGTGAAATCATGGACTGGTGTGACACTAAAACAAGCATCTCACAAATTTGAACCAGGACACCTTGATGAGAAGTGGCTACTGGACAAGAAGACATTGGTGTGCAAGAGATGAAAACAGGGTGTTGTTAGAACGCTACTACACAAGTAACCCCAGCAGAAGGAGATACATGGACAGGAAGAGGGACCTATGGAGTCTTCGATACCCAACATCCACATGGATGGTGAAACAACCAGTAGCTCAGTGTTCCAACATTCGACAGAAGGAACTGCTCTCACAGCTAGAGATTGATGAGGTACAACACAAATGCTACGGCAAGGGGGAGCCAGGACGCCAGGTCAGGGGGGACATATCATCACCCCCACCCGAGATTGGGTACAAAGCCCCAAGTGCGATAGGAGAAGGATTGTTGAGTGCGAGAGGAACTGAGCTTGAAACCTGGATCCAGTGAAGCTGGTTACCAAATCTACATGAAGTACCCTCAGAAGATCTACTAGATGATGTGAATGCAGCACGGACGTTACCTACCACCACCAATAAACACAGCTGAGGTTTTTACAGTAAAAAATAACTTTTCCCCAGTAGGTTTTTATGTTTTGTTTTGTTTTTTTTAGATCAGTTGTGTTAATAAAGAATGTTAATAAAAAATAGTTTGCTAAAAAAATAATGATAACAAAGAAGGTAAAGCACAGTTTGAAAGCTGTAAAAGTGAGAAATGTCAGACCAGTGGGAACCATATACAGTCTATAACAACAGAAGCAGATCAGGTTAGTATTGTGTAACAGAGTGTGAAACTTAAGTTAGACTAGTGTTTGTAAATGAACCGTCTCATGTCGTGTAGCTTTCTGTATTGTATGTTTATTTATCATATAAGCTAAACAGTTCACCTTTTTTATTTAAGTGAAATATTTAATTATGAGTGTTAAAGAAAACAATAAAGTTTTTTTTATATAAAGTAGGCAGCAAGTATATTTCCTGTATTTTAACCATGTATATGATACATATGCAGATGTTACATTCTGTAATATGTGTAAAGAAATGACTTTGATTTTGCTACCCTAAGAAGATTTCTCTAGATCAGCCGTTGCCTCGACTCCTCCCTCTGCTGGTGACAGCTGAGTTATGAACAGAAAAATCTTGTCTTCACAACTTAATTGCACCAAACTGTTTGTGTGTGAGTACATCTAAAAACTAACATCTGCTTTGCCACATGACAGCAGAGGTTTGGTGACAGGAGACCTGCGTCCTCTCTGTGAGCAGCCAACAGCACTCAGCTGTCATATGAAATTAATAAGATTTTGATATCAAACTCACCTGCACAGGTAAACCCCACGAAGGACAAAGATTCAAAAGTCCAAGGTTCCCTAGAGTGAAAAAGAAAGCAGCACAGGTCATACAGATGTCAGAGTGCGCTTTGAGAGATGTTGCTTTGGCACAGATCCAGTTTTTGCCATAGGTGGTGCAGGTTGTTGCTGTCCTGTCAGAGTAAGAAGGTTCTAGGTTCAAATCCTGCTGGGCTTCTTTTTTTTCTGTGTGGAGTTTGCACTCAGCTACTCTGGAGTGGAAGATTCTAGGTTGGTCGTGTATGTGAGGGAGATGAAGTGCCCAGAATAAGCTGCTTTATGAATGTGTGGTTAATTAAAAGCACTTTGAGGGGTTTGTAGCACAGCATGAATGTAAGTACATGACCTGCCTATTGATGTGTGTAGTTTGTGCTCACAGGTACAATGTAACAAAATCTACATCCCACCTTATACTAATAGCACCACACTGATACATTGTAGACACAGTATAAAACATGGACGCCTGCATTCTCTCTGAAGGCCACCAGATGGCGATAGTTGGGAAAAAAACTCACTTTAAAAGCAGAAGCAAAGATGATTTCACACAAACTCACTTTTGACTGATTCCAGCTCAGATTATTCAGTTTCATTTCAGATTTACTCATGAAGCAACAGGAAACAACATGCAGGTTAAGAAACTTTATTTACAGAACAAAAACAGACTGTACAGGTGAGAAAGGGCCTTGATGCATGTTCAATCATCCAGGTAAGTAAATCTCCAAAAGTTGACTCTGTTCACCTGGACGTAGTGTTTTCAGTGGGAGAAACGTTTCGTCACTCATCCAAGTGACTGCAGGTTTCCCCAACCTTATAAACAGGACATTTACAAGCTACGTCCAGATGAACAGAACCAACGTTTTGGAATACAGGTTAGAAAATATTTTTTATAAAAGAGAATTCATGTATACAAAAATCCACTCATTTTTTCATCAATAATAACATAAAACAATAAAATCTGTACCAGGAATAATTTTAAAAGTGTATAAATAAACAGAAATAAATAAAAGCTCCGTGTAATTTAATATATACAAATATTTATCATAGATGTCTCGTCTATTTAAACTACAGAAACAGTCTGAGGCTTCAGCTCAGCAGGAGCAGAGGTCACGAGCTAACAGCTACACATACAGTAGAAACAGGACACGTCTGAAATTCAAGAAAACTAAAGAAAAAGAAGGAAAAGTACGACATTAGTTCAATCTTCTTTTGGAATGAATCCATCTTTAAAACTGTTCAACACAACGTGATGAAATCGTTCACAAAGATGCTGAACAACAAATCCAGGATGTCCTCGTCTGTCTCTGCTCTGAGAAGCTGGAACAGCAGCAGGAGACTCAGATCAGCTGGAAGCCCTCTGAGAGAGTTCAAGGAGGCGAATCCTGACTCTGTTTCTCTGTTGGACTGTTTGTCGATGTTTTGCACCAAACAAAAATAACATTTAATAACTTGTGAAAATCTTATTTTCACATTTCAAACAGGCTGCTGTTCAGCTGGTATGAACCCTGACTCTGTGGTTTAAGTTTCCTGTAGATTATAAAAACACCACCAACAACAACAGCAGCAACAATAACGCCAACAGGAAGACCAAGTTTCAGTCCAAAAGATTCAGCCTCCTTCCCTCCTGCCTTCTTCGCTTCAACTTCCTTCCCTCCATCCTCTGTGCCTCCTCCTGTCTGACCTGCAGGTGAGAAACAGGTGTGAGGTGTCAGCTGTCAGGTAGGTGATGAGTGAAGAACAGAACAGAATCCATTTCCTCTTCAAACTGCTGTCAGACATTATCTACTGCACTCTGATCACATCACTCAGACCAGCTGCTTTCTACAAAGTCTCATCAACAACATCTTTAGAAACAAACATCAACAACCAGGAAGCAGCTTCACCTCTGATCACACACACACTCAACTCTACTCACTCACCTGGAGGATCAACAACACTCAGGTTTATGGTGGTGATGAGGCTCATAGGTTCCCCTGATTTCTGGGCAACATGACACTTGTATGTTCCAGCATCTGCAGTTGTGACATCCTTCAGAATCAGAGACACGTCTCCATCCTTCTTATGTCTTCCCTGCAGATCCACCCGGTTCTTAAAAGATGAATCCTGATAATCTGGAATAACGTGCCCATCCTGGTACAAAAAGACATATCCCTCCTTCTGGTCAACTCTGCTCCACTTTACAGCTAAGATGTTGTTGTCGTTTGAAGCTCGACATGTCAGAATGGTCTTCTGTTTGGACACAGCTATGATGTTTTCCTGGACTGAAAGAGGAAACGACACAGATTAGAGAGGTTAAAGGTTTAAATGATGAATCAAAACTGTACATTTTTGAAGCCATCTGTGAAACACCATGGAGGCTCTGTTAGTTTTTGGAGTTGCGTGTCAGTCAGTGTTGTTGATCTTGTCTGAATGGATGAAATTATGAACACAGAGGAGATCAGATTTTGATCCACCATGAAAGAATCTGATCGGTAACATCATCATTTTTCAGGCAATGATCCTGATCTTAATAGAAAAACACACGAGGGGAGGCCGGTCCGTGACTGATACCCACACGGCTTCAGCATTAATGATCATTTCCATGTAAATGTGAAGCGATTCAGACAGTTTCCTCCTGCTCACTGGGACAGGAAGTACAACCCTTTTTAAGACTAGCAGGAAAACCTCGGGCTCGTGTGTGACAGCGTTGCGTTTACTCGCTCCTTCTTCTGACGGATTTTCTAGTTTATAAAGTTTCGTTTTACCTCAGCCCTTAAAGAGATGGTAGAAACAACTTCCGAGCGAAAACTCTGCATTGTTAGAAGGTTTAACGAGGATATCCAGACGACTTAGAAGAAGTAGGACCGGGAGAGGACCAGGCCTCTGCTCTGCTTTAGAAGGTTCCGGAAAACCCCGCCCCCTTCTCTGACGTCAACCCCCCCGTGCGGGACTCTTCAGAGTAAGTACAACACTGAGCGAACATCAGCACAGATGTGGAGTTTGTTTCACACATTTGTGTCCTGCTCACAGTGACAGCGGGCTGCTGTTAGTCCAGTAGGAAATGAGTCCGCTGCATTTAACACATTCAGTCAGTGAAGCAGCGAGCAGCCACCAGTCCAGCGCCCCGGGAGCAGTGTGTACGGACGGTACCTTACTCAGGGATACCTCACGGTCGGTGAAGCCCCGACCTTCCGATCATAACACAAGCACCCCACTGATCTATCTCTGCCACCTCAGTGTGTTGTCAGTGTTACAGTTACAGTGGATCGCAGTGTGTTATGAGTGTGTAGTTACAGTGTAAAAAACAAAATATCAGTTGAACTCACTTGAAGAGACAGCCGAGAGAAGGCAGGTGAAAATCACAGAGCAGCAGGCTGATGTCAGGTCCATTACTCGTACTTCTGTGGGTGCTGAGATCAGAGTGTTTTTAAAGTTCGCGGGAAAAGTTTCTGAAAATTTGACTGGAAAATTGTTGCCAAAGCCGGAACTGATCTACAGTCAGCGACCTGCTGTTAAAATCCTTAAAACCCTTCATATAAATGAACTTTGGCGGGGACCGCCCAGCCCTTCAGCCTATCAGTTGCTAATACGTAATTTTCGGAATGTGCCAGATATCATCGCGGGAATTTAAAAGAGATTTGTTTAAATAGGTCTATATCTCTCATGAACGATATCCACTTATTTTGAGCAAGAAAGAATATTTCTGTCACTAGAATAGAACTGCAATCAGTTATATTTGATATATATATATATATATATATATATATATATATATATATATATATATATATATATATATATATATATATATATATATTTGATATATATATTTGAGATATATATATATATATATATATATATATATATATATATATATATATATATATATATATATATATATTTGATAGATATATATATATATATATCTATCAAATATATATATATATATATATATATATATATATATATATATATATATATATATATATATATATATATATATATATATATATATATATCAAATATATATATCAAATATATATATATATATATATATATATATGGGTAAAAGTGTCATTAATATTAAAATGTCCTTTTAAAATGAGATGTGGCCAAGAAGTTTGAAGAAATATAACATCATAGTTGTATGAGGATATTTAAGTCACCACAAAGGACTGAATTAATTACATTGTGGTACAATTACACAGTGTCATCAAGATACTTCAACAGCAGCTCATTTCTTTATTTTATTTAAGTAAGTAAGTAAGTAAGTAAAATTTATTTATATAGCGCTTTTCACAGATAAAATCACAAAGTGCTTTACAACACAGAAAATGGGAATATAAAACAATATAACAGTAAATAAAACAATGTAAAACAATAAAACTATAAAAACAGCATAAGAAAAAATTAATCAAATGCTTTTCTAAATAAAAATGTCTTCATTTATAACTCATTCATAAGTCCTGTTCACTACAGTCTGTTTAACAATATAACTATTAGAGAAAAACACAGAAACATCAGAAATTAATTTTTGGTCCAACACACACATTTCTGGATTTCTGATGAACCCTTTCAGTCTAAATGTTCATTCTAATATAGATCCTCAGTTTGAATCAGTGAAGTAGAACATGAGCAGAGGAAAACAAAGATGTTTTATATGTACAGTCAGGGTTAAAGTGGATTCAGCAGGTGAGGAACATTCAAAGTGTTTGTAGTGGCTCAGCACAGGAAAATAATCAGAGTTGTTTCTAACGTGAGCTTCAGGTTTTCAGTGTCCAGGCTGTGATCAGCTGACCTGCTGCTCTTTGTGGATGTACACAACTGAATTCAACCAGATGTGAGCAGATGTTTCACGAGCTATCCTGCCATAGTGTCTTCACAACATGTTGCTTATAGTGTGTTTATACCAGACAGCAAACAGGTGGAGTAAAAGTAGAATTCAGTGAATGAATCCAAGCATCATGTAAATGAATGTCAGCTACAACATTGACCCTGAGCTCCACAGGACTGATGTGTGAAGCTCATTTCTCACCACAGTGCTGATTGTAGTGTGTGTGTAACGTTAGAAAAAGTCTTGGTTTTGGACCTTGTAGTAAAATGTGAGCTGCTGAAAACTGCTGCCAGTTTCTAAGAAAGATGTTTGTGATGCTACGACTCTTCTTTATATCACACGTGTGGCAGCACTGCTAACAGCTGTTCTACCTGCAAAAACCTGCACTGGTTTATTTATCTTTGTGTGTCTCATGTGCAGAGAGCGATCAGCTGCAGTCTGCTCAGCAGTGAGAAAAGAAGACGTCAGTGATGGACGAATCATCGTCAAAGAGAAGAACAACAAAGACGAGAGGTTCAGCTGCTCTTCTTTTACTACAAACATCATAAATCCCTGAACATAACCCCCCTGTGCATAGGTGGCTTTAGACAGGGGCCAGTAGAGAACGATGTAGAGAGAGAGGATGGAGATGATGAGGAGCTGAGGAGCAGGATGACAGAGAGACAGAGGAGTTAGTTGGAGAGGATGTAGAGAGGGACAGTCCTGAGAGTGAGGAGGAAGACGAGCTGTGAGGGAGAAGAAGAGGGACAACCAGCGGTTTGTGATGTTGAACAGACCTGTGTGTCTGAGAGTGTCGTGTCATTACAATTCATACAGTCATTGTAACTGTCAGTAATGAACAATAATGACAGAATAAAGTAATAAGTTAACACTGATCAGTTATTGTCCTCAGTTACAGCCTCATGTTTGCTCTGCATTCATCTCTTATCAGACGTACAAAGATGATCCACCAGTGCTGCCCAGTTTGAGGACATTTCCAGTCACATTAATGGGGGACAGGAGACGCAGCTTCCATCAAAGCTGGTATGAAAGTCATCGTTGGATTCTCTGTAATTATGGACTCTGCCTGTTTCAGGCCACCAAATATGTCAGACGTGGATTTTAAACATTGTGCACATGCACAGTATGTGAAACCTTTACTTTGAAATTCATTTGGATATTTATTTTTGATTTTATGTTAGTGCCTAAAATATTTTCAATTAATATATAAAACAATGAAATATTGCTCTCCTTGTTTTGTTCGGTAACCCTGGGTGTGGGAGGTGGAATACTATACAGCAATACTGAGACTGAAGTAAAGGTATGAGGAAGAGCAGTATGTGAAACCTTTACTTTGAAATTCTTTTGGATCTTTATATAAATGAGTGAAAATAAATTCACTTAATATATTAAACATTTAAATATTAGCCTGCGGTTAGTTTGGTCTGGATCTGCCACTGCCCCGTGATAATCGTGGAATACTGAGACTGAAGTAAAAGTATAAGGAAGAGGGGAAAAACATTAACATTTCTCTTTTTATATAAACTGTGTGAGGATGGAGGAATTTTCCTCATCCTCACTCTCCAGGAAGTGTCAGCAGACAGTCAGATTCATGATTTCATGTGTTTAATCTTGTGGTTAAAACGTGTCAAACACAAAGCTTCACGTCTCTGTGGATGTTGTGATCTGAAACTTTGTCATTTACTACAAATGCATCAGCAGAAAATTGCAGTTACTTCATCCACAATAAAGACATCACACAGGTTAACTTCAGCCACAAACTAAAAGCAGGAGGAACAATTTCACTTTCACAACTGTCTTTATGTAAAATGTGTTTCAGATCTCCTGAACAGACTGTGAGCATTACAAAACTGACAGTAAATGCATCACAGAGGCATCTGTTTACATTAAAGTGCCCCCTGGTTGTGGTCATTTGAATAAAGTCTGAATTTTAATGAGAAGCTGATTAAAAAACAGAGAAACTGAGTCTGAGTCGGAGCACCATGTTTTCACTGACACTGAATACAACAAAATATATGACCACAGATTTGTGTTTACAGTTTTTAAAATGTAATTATAGTAATATACACTGACTGGCCAGTTTATTAAGTACAGCTTCCTCGTACTGATTTTCGGCCTCCAGAACTGTTTTAATGCTTCACAGCAGAGATTCAACAAGGTGCTGCAAACATTCCTCTGAGACTTTGGTTCATGTAGATGTGAGAGCATCACACAGCTGCTGCAGATTTATCAGCTGCACAGACATGATGTGAATCTCTCGTTCCAACACATTTGTTTGAGATGTGGAGACTGGAGGTGACCTGAGTAGTGAACTCATCGTCATGGTCAAGAAACCTGTTGGAGATGATTTGAGCTTTGTGACATGGAGTGCAATCAGAGGATGGTTACAGATGGACGCAGTCAGCAGCAACACACTGTGGTGTTTAATCGATGCTCTGATACGAGGCAGGATGGATCCATGTGACCATCACAGCACAAATCTGAACTCATCAGACCTGGAAATGTTTCTCAAGTCTGCTGTTGTCAGACTTTGGTGAGCCTGTGTGAATCACAGCCTCAGTTTCCTGTTCTCAGCTGAACCAACTTTTCCTGATGGGAACACAGAACCAGTTCTAGTTTGGTCACCAGCACTGCATCCATGGAAAAAGGGAACTGGTCCCAAATCTACATGATGTTAACTCAGGAGAATTAACATCCTGTAGATCTGGGAGCCGTTTAGAGCAAAACATGCATTAAAGTATGTTTTTGTCACATTAGTCGAAAAGAAAACATCCAAATCAGTTTTATGTGATGTGTGAAACATCTGGATGAGGTTTCAGTGTTTACGTGTTTGCACATCAGTGCACTTGGTAAATCCTTTGTTCTTTCTCTCTGTAGTCATAAAGGACCAGGTTAACAAATTAAAACATAAACGTGTTTTACAGCATTTATAAAAGCTGTTGTGTTTATAAACTCTGTCACAATTTATGGGATTCATTATGTATTCTTAATATTTATTGGTAAAAAAAAAATATTCGTAGTAACATTGTGAAAAACTGCAACAAAAAACAAGACATGGATTATTTTGATCCCGAGCTCAGATTTATTAAGGAAGCACCAGGAAACAACAACAATCATATCAACAGACACTTTATTTACAGTAAAAACATTAGAACCACAATCTCCTAAAAACTGCATGAACTGTATGTAAGAAGCTCCTGAGTTCAATTCCACCATTCAATTCAATTCAATTTTATTTATATAGCGCCAAATCACAACATAAGTCGCCTCAAGGCGCTTCATAGATACAGAGAAAAACCCAACAATCATATGAACCCCTATGAGCAAGCACTTTGGCAACAGTTGGAAGGAATACCAGAGGGTCATAGAGGGTTTGGAGGCCAAGAAGGTGTTGTCCATGATGGATGTTAGCTTAGACAACATCCTCTCCTCCCCACCTGCTTGATGGACTTCAGTGGAAGCTACTCCACCCGGGCCCATGGCTTTCCTGGTTTTCATCTTCATCAGCTGACTTCGCCCCTGGTAAGTTGTGATGGAGAGGCTGCAGTGTAGGCTGTGGGTAGGTGTCTCCTGATGAATGGCACAGGGGGAGGAGGCAGTAGAGTCGTTGAAAGAAAAAGGATCAGTTGAGGTGCTGGAGGCTGGTATGAACCCTGCTTCTGTTGTTTATGTTTCTGTAGATTCAAACACCATCTCCACAAACAACAACAATACCTCCTTCAACACCACTGCTGACACCATCAACACCACCAAATCGAAAAAATCCTCCAACGGCATCATCACCAACTTCACCAACACGCACGGGACAAACGCCATCGCCAAAAACTGCCACAACAACTCCAGATCCACCTGGTTCTCAAAAGATGGATGCTGCTCTTGTGGAAAAAAGTGTCCATTGCAGTACTTAGGGGCACATTTATGTAGGTCAGCTCTGGACCACTCTTCAATTATTATGATGTTGTTGTTTGGAGCTCGAAATGGCTGGGTGACGTTCTTCTGTCCTGACTGAGCCGTGATGGTTTCCTGGTCTAAAAGATGAAACAACAGAGAAGAGAGGAAGTGGTCACTTCTGCAGCAGCCAATCAGGGTGAGGAACAGAGACAACTGCTCTCTCCTTTATGCTGGTTGAATCACATAAACGTGACCATAGACCTGTTAAAATCTGCTAAGGAACCACAGAATTCAGACGAACAACAAAGCAATAAAGCAACAAAACAACTTGTGTTTAGCTCCCAGTGTCAGAAATAGAACAAAACACAATCTGAAAAGATTTATTAAAAAAGGGAAAATAATTTTTTGCAAACGGCTTTGCAAAAAATTGTTGTTTTGGTTCTTATGCTCAGAAACATGTGATGTTTGTCAGGTTATTAAGTTGTGACCACATGATTAAATAATGATAATAAGTTTATGTCTGTGTAGGTTTTCAGACATCTACCTTAGAATATAAAGCGCCTCGTGGCGACTGTTGTTGTGATTTGGCGCTATATAAATAAAACTGAATTGAATTGAAAATGTGTTGACCAGGCCAACATTCGTTAGTTTTTGCTCCTGATTTCACCATCAGCTCTTCATCTACTACACTGCTCCCTCTGAGAAATCAAGTGTCAGATAGATGCAGGTGACGGGGCTGACTAAATGATGCAATGATCCCAGTTCATACATCAGGCCCACGACCCCGTGCCAACACCGCGGTAAAGTGAGCCGTCATTTGTGAGCCGCGGTCAAGCCAGCCGCCTCTTATCCGCCGCATAAATTTCCTTGCGCTTTTACACCAGTCTTTACGGTAGCGCCTTTTCGGAATGTGTTGAAAGTTGGGCCTCAACTACTCAGGATGACTTTTAATGAATTTTTGAAAATTGACATAATTGTAGTGTATTGGCTGTATTGAATTGCATATAAATGTCCTTTAATTTCTGAGGAATTTTACAGTAAATCTGGCTGAAACTTGGCACACAGGTACAGTAGGTGTCCCAGAGGAGGGATGTGTTGAAAGTTGGACCTCAACTACTCCGGATGATTTTTAATGAATTTTTGAAATTTCCATAATTGTAGTGTATTGGCTGTATTGCGTTGAATATAGGTTTCTTGTAATTTCTGAGTAATATTGCAGTAAATCTGGATGAAACTTGACACACAGGTACAGTAGGTGTCCCAGAGAAGGAATGTGTTGAAAGTTGGACCTCAACTACTCAGGATGATTTTTAATGAATTTTTGAAATTTCCATAATTGTATTGACTGTATTGGGCTGTAATTTGTGCGCGCGCGCGTGTGACTATTCGCCCGCGTGCGTCTAGGCTTTCAATCGGCATATAAAGCGAAAAGGCGCTACCGTGCAGCCTGGTGTAAAAGCGCAAGGAAATTTATGCGGCGGATAAGAAGTGGCTGGCTTGACCGCGGCTCACAAATGACGGCTCACTTTACCGCGGTCGTGCCAACCGGGGAGCGCTGTAGTACGTACCATACTGTACACTGCTCCCTATCGATCGTCGGCTCGCTCTGCAGGCACACAGGGAACGCGCTTCCGCTGCAATCTTTGTGACCTCGCTACACGGTTGCTCTCCGTGAGAAGAGAAGCTGTTTGTGTTATCAACGTTTGTGTTATCGTTCGTGGACGGTGGAAAACAGCTTTGCTAGGAGCTTTAAACAAGGATGCCCTTTACTCGAAAACGACGTGGGCTTAACTTTGGGTATTGGAGCCTATTTTTAATCGTGACGTCGAAAAAACGAAGCTTATCAGCAGCTTTCACCGTCTTCATGTTTGCTGACGTGTGGGATCAGGCACAAAGGAGCTGCTAGTATGTTTTTAGAGCCTCTGCATGTCGGGGTAAGTAGAACACAGACACGCAGAGTCACAAGAAGGTCGTGTTTCACGTCTGGTTGTAGCGCTGAAACATGGCTGCTGCTCTGGTTGAGCGTTGTGCCATTTATCACCGACGGAGCGTTCCCCAGCGTCGGGAGCGCGCACTGGTCAGGATCCAGGTTACTCCGCTTTCTTTACAACCAGCTAGTCAAGTAGTGATGTTTTAATTTGGTGACAAAGTTACAGTTGGATGTCGTTACATTACCATAAAGTGGAACCTCCTAGAAAAAGAAGTTATAGTTTTAGGAAGTCTTACATCCTTGTTGTTGGTTCAGAGGTTGTTTCAGCAAATTGCTGCGGAAATGTTAAAGTTTGAGTGCATTCTCAAGTGAGGGATTACTTCTTATTGGAACAGGAGGAACGAAGCCAAATATCAACAGGACCTATTTTCTTTTATCCCTGACCAGGGCGGATCTAGAGAAATTTTCTTAGGGTGGCAAAGAAATCAAATGTGCGGCAAAATCAAAGCCTTTTTTTTCGAACACAAAGGGGTGGGTTACATATGGTTAAAATGATTCAATATACATGCTATTCATATAAATATAGTCTACAACTTAATTATTTCTGCAGTCCACGTAACTATACAGTTTAGATATACACGTGAAATTTTGGGTTTATGTACCGTGTAGTCCGTATAATGAATAAATCTGTAGCCCAATAAATATAAAATCCAGAAAGCTTAACAACATGGGGCGATTTTTCCTTCCTGACTGCTTTGGAGAACAAGCTCGATGACCTAAGAGCAAGAGTCACCTTCCAACGTGACATGAGGGACAGCGACATTGTGCGCTTCACGGAGACATGGCTGACCCCATCGTGCCGGACCAGGCCGTAACTCCGTCGGATTCATTCTTTGTGCTCCGCGCGGACAGAACGGCAGAGTCAAACAAACCAAAGGTGGAGGAGTGTGGTAAACAGAAAGTGGTGTGATGCCAGGTGCATTTCTACTCTTTGCAGCGGCTGCTCGCCACATCTGGGATTCCTGAGCATTAAGTGCCGCCCTTTCTATCTGCCCCGTGAGTTCACCTCGGTCATCGCCACGGTGGTCTACATCCCACCCCAAGCGGACACAGGTATGGCTTTGTCCAAACTACATGATGTGCT